AGAGATATTGGTCAGTTCTAGGAAGCAGAGGTTTGGTCAGTCTAGCAAACAGAGGTATTGGTCAGTTCTAGGAAGCAGAGGTATTGGTCAGTTCTAAAAGCAGAGGTATTGGTCAGTTCCAAGAAGCAAAGGTATTGGTCAGAGCTAGGAAGCAGATGTATTGGTCAGTTCTAGGAAACAGAGGTATTTGTCAGAGCTAGCAAGCAGAGGTATTGGTCAGTTCTAGGAAACAGAGGAATTGGTCAGAGCTAGCAAGGAGAAGTACTGGTCAGTTCTAGGAAGCAGAGGTACTGGTTGGTTAAAGGTAGCAGAGGTACTGGTTGGTTCTAAGAGAGCAGAGGTATTGGTCAGTTTTTAGAAAGCAGAGGTACTGGTCAGTTCCAGGAAACAGAGGTATTGGTCAGTTCTAGAAAGCAAGAGGTACTGGTTAGTATGTGTGGCTATGTTACATTCTCAGTTCTTGATATTTTATTTCTTAACAGCAATTAAATATTCTCCTTCTTCATTATAACAGTGACAGCTTCCATTACAAGTTACACAACAACTGTTTGGCAGTCACTGTATCTCATTTAACAGATAATTGCCAATCACCTTGGAATTTAATCACTGGAACTCTTCCAAATTGCCAGGATGTTCCCGTACATTTTCTCAGAAAACATGAAGCTGTAGTCTGTTTAATGCCTGTTAATCTTTTTCAAAGAAGTTAACAAGTTTCATTATAAAACACTGTCTCATTCTTCAACAATACTATAAAAAAAACCCTAAAAACTGAAAGCTCTGTAACATGAAAAGTGAACGTTAAATTGTAATGCAATAAACAATTTAGATAGATTAATCCAATTTTTTACACACATAGATCTTTGTATCAAACATGGATTTACAAGCAACGTAAAACTTTTGGATATGAAGAAAACTCAGGCTATTATACTCATTTGCAAATACAGTTTTGATCTCCCAACATGTTCAATATGAACAACTACCAAAGATTCTACCTTTAACAGCTTGAAACAAAATTATATCTATCTTTGGTTAAGATATAAAACAACAAAAAACTGATAAGTACTCAGGTTAAAACCTTTCAGAGCTATTAGTCAAAAAATTTACTCCCATATTCATAAAACTTAAATTGCCACTTACAGACTCTCTAAGAGTCACATGGAAAAAGGGCTTAGATAACCCTAAATTGTTCACGTAAATTGCTCTTAATTCCTTTAATAGAGAACTAGATAACTAGGACAAAATCATCCATGGTTAATTTTGATTTCACATGTGTACCAAAGTATGCATGAAGTAAAAACTTGCAGAATCAAGATCTCACTTTATAAGTTTATGTAAAACTGGTGTCCTCAGTCATACAGGGCTAAATTTGACCCTACAGAGCTTAATTTTAACAAACAATGCAGATAATCATCAGACAATGCTTCATGTTAAATATCTATCAAATAGGCATTGTGGTTTATGGCTGGACGATTTCTTAAGACATTGAATAATTTGACAGGTAAGTAGGCTTCCACATGGTGATGCCACATATTTACGGTAATATTGAATCTGTGGTTATTGCACTTTTGTGTAGCCTGCTTAACAGAGTAGCGGCAACAAATAGGGATCACTTTTGCTGTCACATGTCTGTCCATCTGTCATAAAACTTGTCTAGAACTTCCTCAAAAACTACTGATGCAATTTTAACCAAGTTTTGTTGTGCTGCTTTTGTGCATATTATCTGCATTTTCCAGTTCAATTATTTTTATCAGAGTTATGGCCCTTTCTTGACAGGACTCTCATTTCCTGATTTTTAGGGCCCCTCTCCAATTAATATACTGTTTTACCCTATTTTTGAAAAATATTCCCTTCTATAGTGATCTATCAGTGATGTTGAAAAAAATGAAACATTTAACAATCCAGTCACTATACTTGAACATTCCTGAATGTATCTACAGATAGTAAATTACATGAACTTTACCTTTCCATTTGTATGTTCAAAAATATAAAAAAAACCTGTTCACAAAGTGGTATGAATTAAGATTTATTCAAATAGAAAGCAGTTTCTTTTAAGTTTCAAATTTCAATAATATTGTCTCATAGATTTGCAATTAATAAAACTAAAATTAACTATTTCGGACCTTAATAACAAGCAGCTCATTGGCCTGATTCTCATTGCTGGGCTTTTGGTGCTGGCAAAATATGTCCAGGCTGGTTCTATTTAAGTTCAAATACATACATCCAAAGGGAAGTAACACTTACTTCTAAAGGTTAATGTTACATACATTTACTTCCAATACATGACACCATTTTTCTCTAAATTGGTTAACTTAGGGCCTGGACTCCTTTCAAATTCTCATTTGTACACACAATTGTGAAGAAAAAAAACGCCTGTAAACCCTGTTAATTATTCTGAGGAAAAAAGGATTTAATTAAAGAACATTGTGTGGATTAAAATATTCTACATTGGTTTTCACTCATTCTAATCATGGCATTGAAAAGCCATGCTCTGATTTTCAAAAAATCTACAGATTTAAAATGTTTTGCACAAAAACATTGTTGTTTAGGGGAATGACTTAAATATGTCGTATTTGATCTGCAATGCTGACACTGGTCACATGGAAATATGGATAATGCCATTACCGTGAAATAAGTGTTGATGCGAAATTAAATTCATGCTAATAATGAATCTAAAAGATAACTGATAACTAGACTTTACTTTTGACTTTAAAGTGTTTAGTAGGACCAGAAAAGGAGAGCTTTCAGCCAAATTCTAGACAAGGTCCTTCATTTCTTTTTGAAAGACCCTGTCAGGACTTTGTGTAGCTAAAGATATTTCAGCGAACAGGTTAAATAGTACTGCTAGATCTGTCGCACAACGTCAAAATAAAAGCAACATGTCAGAATAGACATAGTGGCAAACGGTATAAGTCAACCCGGCCTTGAGTGAATCTGGCCCCAAATTAGTCGATCCGGCCCCATTCAATAAGATTTCTGGTCAACCCTGCCCCATTTTTATTATTAGTTATTTGGCATTAGCTTTTTCCACTCAAGAAATAATGGGAATAATTATTATTGCAAGATAAAAAGCTTCATGATATCTAGAAGCACATTAGCCATTGTTATCAAAACTAGTTAACTAATGTGATTTATTGTTTAATAAACAACTTATTTCAAGTAAAGGTGATGATTACAAAGAAATCTTTGTAGACATTTTCTTGTGCTTTTTATCTTGATAATTATTCACATTATTTCCTGAATAGAAAAAAGATAATAAGAAAAAGTGAAAAAGTAGTGCTATATTAATAATATTAAAATGTTTCTCTCTTCTCCCTATTGATGAGACACAGTTTTCAGAACGGCCAAGTTGCTGACAACTCTTTGTAGCAGTACATGTGAAAAATGAAAACACATAGAGTAAGTCATGAAATGTTTCCAAAGTTAGATATCAAAAAAAAAAATATTACATTATTTTTTCTCTTGACATTACTATAATATTTCAGTAAGCCCGCTTTCGACAGTCACCCATCAGAAAGTACTGCTGAAAATACATGACTATGGAATCAGAGATCAAACTTTAAAATGGGTCAAAAGTTTTCATCAACTATAAAGGCATGTTACTGTTATAAACAATATTTAATTTAAACTTGATTCCAAGGTTTGAACAAATCATTTTATAATCATTTGTAACCAATCAACTGGCAAAGTAGCCATAAGAACAATTATATATGTAATAGCTAGCCCATGCAGGTTACAAAATTGGCGCCCAACAGGGGACACTTCTAGCTTTAGATAGGCTAACTTACCCTAGAATTTTAACAACATGGCTGAGAATAAAAATAGATTGTCCGATGAAGACTTTTGTTTAATGTATGATGAAATGGAAAATCTTAGGAATGAAAATCGTAGGCGGAGACTCCAAAGAGAGATTGATAGTCTTCAAAGACAGATTGGCCAGACATGTAGTGAACTTGCTACAACAACACCTGTGATGGATAAAACATCTACAAGGTCTACTATCATGAAACCTGCTACTTATGACAGAACTTGTGAATGGACAAACTATAAAGCACACTTTGACACTTGTGCAACTTTGAATGGCTGGAATGAAAATGAGGAAGGTTTATACTTATCTGTATCCTTACGAGGCCAAGCTCAAGGAGTGATTGGAAATTTGACAACAAAGACACACAATAATGAGGAACTTATGAGAGCACTCAAAGATAGATTTTCACCAAGAAAGCAGACTGAGCAAGAGACCGTCGATCAGGTTGACGGTCTTTACAGACCAGCAGAGACCGTTGATCAGGTTGACAGTCTTTACAGACCGGCAGAGACCGTTGTTTTTGCAGGGACCGTCAATAAGTAGGTCCCAGCTGTATGAATAGATGCTGTGCAATATGGCGTCGTACAAAGGGACGAAAGAAAAAAAAATTGAATACCCAATTGACTTTAAGTAAAATATAGGGTATGGAGTTTTGGAATACCCAATTAAATGGAGCTAAACCCCAATTCCAAAGGAAATGAATGAGTAATACCCAATTCACATTCAAAGCTTATCTGTTGCTTTGGTTTACCGTTCTTATTTGAAAATCAATTTTGGGGCAGCATAATCCAAATTTTGGGGCCGGATTGACCAATTTTCGGACCGGATTGAGTAAGCCCAACAAATTGTGCGCTTTAGGGCTTTTTTTATATAAATGATGGTCGCCCTTTGTAAAGACAGACATCTATGGAATATCAGATTATAAAATCGGTCTGTCTAAATCTTGCAGTCGACTAGGATTGAGTCATTAACTAATTTTGTGGCCGGATTGACTTTGGACCGGGTTAACTTGGGCCGGGTTGATATATAAAATAATCTTTAAAGGAAACTAAGTTTAACCAATTACGTGTTGTATGAACGGCATCATTTATGTTTTCTGTATTCTCCTGTAGTCTCTCAAATCAGGCGCTTTTCTTTAAAGAAATGACTGGTTACAAAGGAAAATCATGGTTATTCAAAAAGCGAATGAAATATAATTGCAAGCAAGCGTCTGTCGACAGTGAAATTATGTATACGTCGGAAGCAGTCTTTGTGACCTTTACCATTTGGATTGCCTTTGATGTCACCGGCTGTGAGGCCGTTCGAGTTGCATAAGATTTGAATCAAACGTACGGTATGATTTACTTGTAATATTTCTTTTTTAACCAATAAAGTCATCTAATTTGATTTGTTTTCAACACAACTCAAAATCTTATAAATATAAAATTACATGTAATTTTATTTTAACGTCGCGAAATCTGATGTCTTTTACTCAAGAAGTCACACATTTGTTCACGTGTTTGTTATTAAATCGTCTAATCGGATGTGTACTAAAATTTAATTTAATATAAAGCGGGTGGAGGTTTTACCGATCACTAAAGCCGAAAACAGTAAATGATCGGTACACGATGTAAGGGTATATTTTCTTGGTTATAAAATCTACTTGAATTCATCTACATCTACATCATACTGCTTAACAATCAATTCTGATTATGACTAGCAGGCGCGTTGTCAGGGAACTGTTAATAAAAGAATTTGTTTATATGCAAATTAAAAAGTTAAAAGAATAAAAGTTCTACAAGACTATTACTTTAAAAACATAGTGTGCAGTTTAGAATTTATAGAATGGGTCAAGCCTCTCAGTAAAGATGTTTAAACTGGGGCTAGACTGAACAGTAAGGGGAAGGCTATTCCAAAGACGTATGCTCCTAGGAAAGAAAGAATTTTGATGATATTGTGTCCTCGAGTAGGGTATCAGGTAGTTCAGATTTCTTGTTTGAGTAAGGTGTTGGTGGTCAACAAAAACAATATTGTTTTGGATTTTATACAAGTAGGTTACAGCACTGATGTTTCGACGCTGTTCAAGGGTTTGCCAATTAAGATCATTTATCATTTTTGAGACACTACTTGTATAGTCATAATCATTAAAAATGTATCTAGCAGCTGATCTTTGTACTTGTTCTATCTTATAAATTAAGTATTTCTGCCAAGGATGCCAAACTATGGAGCAATATTCAACCTGAGGTCTAACATAGGTCTTATATGCAGTTTCTTTTATCTTTTTATTTGGAGTTTTAACATTTCTTCTAATGAATCTGAGGGAGTTATTTGCTTTAGATGTGATGTTGTTTATATGTTTGGTCCATGAAAGGTCTTGACTAATAGTGACTCCTAAGTATTTCGCTTCTTGAGTTGAGTTTAGTTGGATGTTATGGAGGGTATAAGGAAATATTACAGGGTTTTCTTTTCTTGTTATCCTGAGAACTTCACATTTGTCAGGGTTGAATTCCATGGACCAGTCTTTTTTCCCATTTTTCTAATGCATGGAGGTCATCTTGGAGGGTTTGGGCATCTTGTTTAGATCTGATGGTTAGGTAGACAACAGTATCATCTGCAAAGAGTCTAACCTTACCTTTGACGCTATCTGGGAGGTCATTTTATGTAAGAAAGGAAAAGACAGGGACCTAATACCGAGCCTTGGGGGACACCTGAGAGAACTGGTAGAGAATTCCTGATTTTTGACCTTCAACTACAACTTGCTGGGAGCGTGACTTAAGGAAGGAATGGACCCAATTTGTAACCTCATAACTTATACCCAATCTTTCTAGTTTACTCACAAGTTTGTGATGGTCCACCTTATCAAATGCCTTACTGAAATCCATGACTATGACATCAGTTTGTTGGCCACTTTCAAGATTGTCATGAATTTCCTGGGAGAGAAGCTTACTAGCTGGGACTCACAACTCCGTTTTGACCTGAAGCCATGTTGATAGGGGCTAAGGATGTTGTGTTTATCATAAAAAGACATAATATTGGACACTAAGATGTGCTCCATCAATTTGGACGCTATGCATGTGAGGGAGATTGGTCTATAATTACTGGGTTTGCATTTTGGGCCTTTTTTGTAAACTGGGGCAATTATTGCATGCTTCCAGTCTTCTGGGACAATACCTGTTTTAAGTGAGATCTGGAAGATGTGGGTCAGTATGGGAGTAACCTCTTGATGGAGCTCTTTTAATAACCTAGGGGATATTTGGTCAGGACCAGAAGCTTTATTTGGGTTTAGGTCTTTTAAAAGTTTCTTCACACCATCTTCCGATATATATACTTCTGGCATAGATGGGTGGAGTTTTGGAATAAGCTTCTGTTTGCAAGCTTGGGGATAAGCTAAGGGGCTGAGGCCGAGAGAAGACAGACTCAAACTGGGAGTTAAGGATATCTGCTTTTGCGACTGGATCAGTAAATGTTTGACCTTCTGATTTGAGGGTGCCACACCACAGCTTTCAGTTTTATTACTTTTAACATATTGGTAGAATTTTTTATTTTTCACATTTTGGGAGTCTTGGCTAAAAATGACAGAGTCTAGGTATTGCCAGTATGCTTTCCTAGTTTCTCTTTGGATTTCACTTTTAAGTACTTTGAGCTTTTTGACCAAATCATTTGATGGGGACTTTGACCTTTTAATGTTTTGAAAAAAGTTCTATCACGTTTCCTAATTTTTCGAATAATGGACTTGTTTATCCATGGTAGGTCTTGACGTGTTTTAGTGACTTTAGTTGGTATGTGAATAGAACAAAGGTGGTTTAGTTCGTCCTTGAAGGAAATCCAGGCTTTGTTGGGATCAGTGTGGTGTGTTTCACTGTAGACCTTGGCATATTTACTTACGTCATTTTTTAAACAATTCCAGTTTGCCTTATTATAACATTGGATTTCCCTCTTTGATTGAAGTGGACGCCCTCTGTTAATTTGATTTCATGAAAGACTATGTCATGATCTGAGGAGCCTAGGGGAGGTAGGGTTTTTGTACTATGTACGTGGGAAGGCATGTTTGTGAGGAACAGGTCAAGGACGTTGTTACCTCTGGTAGGGATGTTGACCATTTGCTGCAGGTTTAAGTTAATGAGATTTTCAAGGAAAGAAGTGTATATGTTTGGGAACTTACAACCTTCTGTCAGGGATTCTGTTGACCAGTCGATGCTTGGCATATTGAAGTCCCCAAGCACCCAGACAATACTATTTTTGGGGATCTTTTTTATGGAAGACCAAAGTTCATTGAGGGGTATCTCATCCTTCTCGTTAGGTTTATAGAAGGAAGAGATATAGATGTCCTTAAAACCTTTAAGGGACATTTTGGCCCAAACTGAATTATATTTTGATTTCAGATCAGGTTGTTCCTGGCTTAGGATGGATTTCGATATAGCAATGAGGGTTCCCCCACCTTTGCCCTCTAGTCTATCATCCCTATATACCTGGAAGTTTAAGAAGTCAGGAAAAATTTCCGCTGTTGATATTTCAGGTTTTAGCCATGTTTCAGTACAGCAAATAATGTCAGGTTTGACTTGGGATATTACCTGTTGTAAATCTGGTATTTTATTTTTAATAGAGCGACAATTTATGTTTAAGACGCACAACCTTTCACATTCTTTAAGTTTTTTGTTTGCCTTTGGAGGATGACGCTTATTTTTGGGATTAGGGGTGGAAGTAGCAATTGGTTGTGTGCCTGGGCTGCTTGAACTAATGTGTGATCTATGTGGGGAGGAGGTATCATTATCTAGAGCCTTTGGAAGTTAGAGTAGTCCAACTAGATTCTAATTGTACTGCGCGACGAGATATTGTGCTATTTTCGTGTCTGGGCAATATCTCGTCTTTAAAGCGAGATTCTGCCACAGAATTAAAATATCTCAGAATCAAGCTTTGACACGTCAATATATTTTGCCTAGAAGTTAGAGTAACATCATTTTAACAGCTACATCTGTTTGCTTGCATAACTGACCATTGCTTCTAAGTTCTTTTTCCGAACATTTATGTTTGTATTACAGAATGCATAGAAGTCTTAAAAAACGCTTAAAATATATCTACCAGAAAACAGGATATTGTGTTACAAATTATATGTGACTTCATAGTTAGAAAAACAAATCAATTTCATTTAAAAGTCATTAACAGAATACAGACGTTTCAATTCATCATTTTATAAACATTTTACAATAAATTTCTATGGTTGAATCCTAAATGTAAGTCTAAACTTGATTGATACATTGTCACCATTATATGCAAAACTTACAGTTACATTGAATTTGAACATACAGATCTATATGTTTTCAGCAGTATTTTAATTCAAACTTTTCTCCTCTTCTGGCATCTTTCGCTTTCATAAACGTTCTACCTTTCGCATCTCTTTTGTATGTTCTTCCTGTTTCTTCTGAGCCATCTTATCCTCCATCAGTTTTCTGTATGCCAATCCTGTAAATTGCTTTTGGCAATACTACGCGACCCGTAGCTTTCGTCCTTGGTAATTTAGATGTTGGAATCATCAGTTGTTTAGAAGAGGGTAGGGGCTGGGCTGTCATTGAATATTAGGGCTGGGTATTGATCAGAAATTTCCGATACGATACGTATTGCGATACAGACCAACGATACACAATACGTATTGACGATACAGTACAATGATGCTTCATTGTTAGGATGTACTTATTAAAAGTACTATTTACATTTCATAGATGCCCTGGTGAAATATTATTAATCTTTCTTATATCTGTTTTAGATTTTGACTTTGTTAATGATGATATATAATACAGAGCAGGTGCATAGGTACCTTAATTAGTACATTTGAGATAATATTTTGAAAATGACATGATGGCCCCTTTTTTTAGATATATTAAACAATTATTTTGAAAAAAAAAATAAAAAGCTTTGTAGAGAAATAATTCAATGCAAAAATATAATTATGTAAATACTAGGAAAAGTTAACGCAGAAAATAATTAAAACATCACTATTTAATATTTATTATGACAGGAGTCTAGTACTGTCTACAAGTCAACTGTTCTAAATTATAAGATCTTTATAATAAAATCAAATTTTTGTAGAATTTGAAATATATACGCTGAGAAAGTATTGGAACATTGAAAATTTTCTAACAAATCATGTTTTTTCTATCTTAAACGGTAAAATTACAATAAAAATATAAATATCATGTAATGATGTTTGTGTGTCGTAATCCGTAACGTAACGGGAAACGGTGTTTAGCTACGTCTTCGCGCAGTCACATTTATTTAGTTAGCAAACTACATCTTGGAAAATCAATAAATTTGTAGGATTTATGTGTTTACAATATGTGTACAATATGTGTTTGATTAAATTACAAGTAAATGTTTTTGGTCTAATACAAACTACTGCCGACCTGAAAGTATTTTTTACCAGTGTTAGAAATAGGAGATTGAATGGCCGAATAAATTTTGTCACAGATTTATCCGTCATTTTGTGTATTGACACATTCGTTGTTCCACCTGAACTAATCAATGCAGCCTTTCAAATATTGCTGAGGGCCTTCTTAACATTTACTTTAGAGAAAATTCCACACTTTTGACTTTCGTGTGGACATTTTAAAGACGATAGTTTTAATGTAAAGCCATCATGTTTATAAGTTCCACTTTTTTATTAGGTTGTTTCCCTTTGTATCGGTATAGCTAAAACCCGATAACCGTACCGTATTGAAAAACGGAAAATCGATAAATACCGATTTACCGGTATATTGATCCAGCCCTATTGAATATCACGATATCGATATATCATCGATATTCATCATCCGATACAATATCGATACACACTTTCAAATATCGATACAAGCTAAAAAAAAATTATTTCTATTAATAAATATATACCTCTCAATTTTGCCTAATAAGAGAAGTCACTTTTTCCAGTTTTCTAGGCTAACTTGAACTTTAAACTCTGTTTTCAAATGTCAGAGACAAAAGTAACAGAAAAAAGACACTTTCTGGTAGTTTGTAGTATTAGTAATCTCATAATAAGCATGCATAAGACTATGATCCTAATTTAAAACACACATTTAAATGTTTTTCATTGTATCTACTGTGAAAGTCGATATATTGATATATCGTCGATATTTGTCTCTCGATATATCGATACAAAATTGTCCATCAATGACAGCCCTAGAGGTGAGGGGTGGTGGATTGCTGGTATTTAATTTTGGGCCAGATGGTTCTTCATTTAATAGAGCTGGCTGTGCATTCTGAGATATTCCGTTTTCTTGACTTTGTGACAGATTGGCATCAGCTTGTGGTTGATCTTCCTGTCTGATGTCCTGAGTATTTACTGATACACCTATGGAATTTTCAGATAGATCTTTATCAATAATTATAGAATTTTCTGCGGGCAGATGAACCTCTTCTTCATTTGGCTTACCTATAGCTGGGCTCATTGAGGGTAGTGACGGACTGAAAATCTTGATTGATGATATCACTGCACTGGAATCCAGAGGAAAAAGCCCTGCTTCTTGAAACCCCTTGACTGTTATATCCGTAGTTGTGCTTGCCTCCCATGCCTTTCTGAATACTTTGGAGAATTTCATTTTGCATCACATGTAAAGCATGTGGTAACAAGCTATACAATTCAATACAACTTTGCTGACAGATATCAGAGGCTTTCACTGTAACATGTGTTGAGTGACCATCAATCAATAACAATACTTGCTTCTTTACAATATCTGGCATTAACTTCTGGCACAAATTAATAGTTAGGTCAGCCTTTGATTTAGTGTGTTGCCTCTACATAGTATCTCCAGTCTGTCTGTCCGTCTGTCTTAAAACTTGTCCAGAACTACTTCTCAGAAACTACTGGTGTAATTCCACCCAAACTTTACAGGAATGATCAGTACCATGTCTAGTTGTACATATTGTTGGCATTTTTATGCCCCCGGGCATATAGTAATTGAACCGTCTGTCCTGTCCGTACGAGGTTAACCTAGAACAGCAAGTTGGATTTTTCTTAAGTTCTACCTGTACCAATGGCTTCTTAGTTTACACACTTACTAATCAATACAAAGTACATGATCTGGTCAAGTTACATAACTATGGCTTCCATATTTACCAAGTTATTGCCCTTTTCAGCATTTAGAAAATGAATAATGGTTAACCTAAAATGGCCAGTTGGAAATATCTTAAGTTCTATCTATTCTAATGGCTTCATAAGTGGTCTCTAGGGTCAAGGTCACTGGTTTAGAAAATAAATTTAAACATTTTTTCTCATACAGCCTTTACTTTTTGGTTGATGTCTTCCATGTTTAATACAAACATGCCAAGGGAGGTCCTCCTTCTTTGGGCATACTAAGGGGTCATTTGGGTCATGGTCAATGTCACCAATGTCAAGGTCACCAATGTTAAAAATAGATTTTTACAGGTGTATTAACCATATTCTACAGACAGATGTCATTTATAATTGATAGGAACATAAAATTTGATGGAGTTAGTGGTCAGTTGGGTCAAGGTCACCAGTGCTAAAAATAGATTTTTACACTTTTGCTCATACAGCCTTTATTTATTGACAGATATATTTCATATTTGGTAGGAAGATAACTTGCATGATATTCATCCTTTTGATTGAGGTAGGGATCAGTGGGTCAAGGTCACTTGTGCTAAAAATAGATTTTTACACTTTTGCCCATACAGGCTTAATTTATTGACAGGTGTATTCCATATTTGGTAGGAAGATAACTTGCATGGTATTCTTCCTTTGGATTGAGTTAGGGATCAGTGTGTCAAGGTCACTAGTGCTAAAAATAGATTTTTACACTTTTGCCCATACAGCCTTTATATATTGACAGATATATTTCATATTTGGTAGGAAGATAACTTGCATGTTATTCTTACTTTGGATGGAGTTAGGGGTCAGTTGGGTCAAGGTCACAAGTGCTAAAAATAGATTTTTACACTTTTGCCCATACAGCATTTATTTATTGACAGATTTATTTCATATTTGGTTGGAAGATAACTTGCATGGTATTCTTCCTTTGGATTGAGTTAGGAGTCAGTTTGATAAAGGTCATCAATGCTCAAAATAGATTTTAACATTTTTGCCCATACAGCCTTTATTTATTGACAGGTGTGTTTCATATTTGGTAGGAAGATAACTTGCATGATATTCTATAGGTGTCAGTGGGTCAAGGTCAAGGGTGCCAAGTATAGATTTCTTACATTTATATATATTTGATAAAGTTGAATATTTATCACTTAACAAGTCATAGCAATGACTTGGCAACTTATATATTTCTCAATTACAAAATGCCATGACTCTGTCAAGCTATATAACTTGTGTTTACAATTTTTTGGCAATGTTTCTGTCCATAACTGAGTGAATGAGTAAACATTTTTGAAATATTGCTACTGACAAGAATCGGAGCCGGGGGGGGGGGCATTTGTGTTTAACAAACACATTCTTGTTTCAGTTTAATGATTTTTGCCAGAGTTATAGCTCGTTAATTATTTTAATCTTTGATATGTAGCGTTAACCATGCTTTAAAGGGTTGCCATGAAAATGTATCAGATATTATTATTCCTGATGTATTTAGTTACTATTTACTGATTGTTCTTATAATGTTAATAATGTAACTACACCTTGCAAAAAATAAAGCCACTGTTGACCAATTGATATAAAAGAAATTGCTGAAGTGATTTTTGCAAAAAAATTCTTCTTATTCTATATGGTCAACTAATTTAATGTACGTTACATACTGGGAGAAACTACTGACCAGTTAAACATATAAATATTAGAATCTGCTGACCAGTTAAATTTCTAGTGAAAACTGCTGACCAGCTAGCTACTTTAGTTTTTAAGATTTATATATAGAGAATTCAGAAAAAATGATATATATCCAAAAGTTTCTTATTTAATCGATATTGTTTATTTGTTTGTAAATAAAATCAATGTTGCATCTTGCAAAACAATTACCTGGTAAACCACTGCTGACCAATTAAAATGGCTTATGTGATTTTAAGCCATATTTTCTTTTTATTCTACATACAAATTTAATGTATTGTACATTATATAACTGGTGACTTGTTATAACATGTAGTGAAAACTGCTGACCTGTGATATATATATCTTTTAAATGTCAACATAACATCATTTTCATCTGAAATCTGTTGGACTTCATTAAAGTTGTACACAATTTTTAAAATTTCAGTTATGTTTTAGTTTGTATTAATATGTTAAGCAAGCTTATTTGCACAGAAATGAAAATATCACAAAGCAGAGTCTTAGTTATTGAACAAGATAAATCTGGAAAACGGGATTATTTTATGTCACATTTAGTTTTGGTGCAATTAGAATTGTGCACTGAACAATAGAGAGAGTGTGATTTTAATCACTGTAACTTTGTGGCCTTGAGAAGCCTTGAAGGTCACAATATATAAATGTAGAACTATTTATATACCAACCTTTACCTACCTCTCTAACATCATTGATTTTGTTTTGAATTTCTGTTTCAGTGAACAGAAAACTACTTTACTTCTTGGGTTACCTCATTCAGTCTATGACGTATTTAATAATAAACAAACAAATAAGCAAAATGATTGCGAAAGAAGTTAGTAAACAAAATCTCGGTTTTTAGCATGTATGTTTAAACAATGGATTTAAAGCATATTATTTGAATTACATTTGTATTTAAAACTTCCAAAAATTATAAAACTTGTATAATAATTATATTGGTGTTGATTTTAGTGTTAATATTTGGATATAAGAGATGACTTTCATTCTTTGTATTATTTCTGCAATGAGGAAATCAAATATTTATTCGCATAACTTTATGTTTGTTATTTCAGTTCTGTTCAAGATGAGTAACCCTTGTACAGCTGCGACTTTACCAAAAGTAATATGTCGTAGATTTTCTACCGGATCAATGCAACACATAAAACAGGTTATTATTTACTGTAACTTCCTTATTATATTATCACCTATACATGTGTATATACAAGAAAAATTAATTTTGACTCACATTAACATATAGACAGATGATCAGATAGATTATTATTTACTGTAAACTTCCTCATTATATTATCACCTATACTTGAATATACAGTCGACTCTCGTTATCTCGAAGTCTTCGGGACCGTCAAAAAAATATCGAGATAACGAAATGTCGAGATAAACGTATGAGGGTTTGAACATGTCAAAAACTAATTTTTACAGAAGACATGCGCATACCTTTTAAGTCAAATAAGTACGATGTTTCATAATCTTGTGTCAATCCTTATAATAAAAAATAACAATTTGTTACATAATTTAACGGATGTTTACCAGCGGAAATACAGCATTTAGGTGCTATGTGATAAACACATAGTGAGGTTTACTCAGTTATACACCACTAAAACAAAAAACGTTGTTTTCTAACCTAATTTATTTATTTATTTAGTACTTTAACATTGCATAATAACACATATTACATGAACATATTCTTTTTCCCTTCCTCAACTTCTATAATTGCCTTGTATTTCTCGCTGTATGACTTGGTATTCAATTTTCGTTTGGCACCCTTACCTCCAGTTGCTGAGAGTCTGGATATCCCCCGGATTGGTTACCAGGTCCTTCTCCAGATTTCTCAGCTGTGATTGATCCAGATATCCTCACGGGTTGGTTACCGGGCCCTTCTCTAGATCGTTCACCTGGTGTTAGATTCTCAGACAACTTTATACTATCATCTGCCTCCGACATTTTCCCGATGTATTTATATAATGTACTTATATTGATACTATTTCTTGGACTTTTAAAGTAATAATGAATTAAATACAGTGTTTGTATGTTTTATAAATAACGGAAAATTCACTCATTTTCGACAAAAGTCAATCAACACGCTAATTAGATTAACATCAATTATTATGACACGCGCTTTGAGCGATAACCGTCCGCTTTGTGTTTTTCACACCTCTGCGGGAGGGCGCAGACAATTATTTGTCGAGATAAACAAAGGATTTTAGTGTAAAAAGAACTATTGGGACTGAAATATCACATCGAGATACTGAAAAAATCGAAATAAAAATATCGAGATAAAGAAATATATTCAATATAGATAAAGAAGGGGAAAAAAACGGGACTTTCAGAATTTGATCGAGATAACGAAATATCGAGAAAAGCGATGTCGAGATAACGATAGTTGACTGTACAAGAAAAATTAATTTTCACTCACATTTATATATAGACAGATGATCAGATAAATTATCTTTTTTTTATTTAACAAATTTAATTTTGTTTTGTCTAATTATTATATATTTGACTGGGACATGTTTAAGAATTACAGGAATTAATTTATTGACTGTAACAAATGGATGCTTATTCCTGCCTCTATGTATTGTAATATAAATATAATAAAACCTGTACTATTATGAACATTGAATGAAGTTACCTGTGAGACAATACATTAATTTATAAAAGGACAATACATTTTAAATGGACTACATCATTTCACATCCCTGTCAAGGGTATAACAGTATTCTTGACAAAAAGATGGTTCCTGATTGGACAGGTATACCAATCTAGTTAGTAGAGAAATGGTTAAATGTGAAATTTCAGATGCAAAAGTTTTGTAATTAACTTGTTTAATCAGAAAACTGTTGGTTACTTTAAGATTAAGAGATTTCAGTACCAACATACATGTACTAGTATTGAGTTACTGACAGTTTTACAGTGTCTACATAGACATGGTAGCATACAAATGTAGGACTGTTTACTTCAAGTGCTTTCAAGAAGATTAGATTTTCAGAGGGAAGATGGGTAGGGGGTTTATGTTATACCAACAGGACTGGTAGAGCACTTGAAAAAGTTACAGGCTTTCCATTAGTGGAAGCATTTGGGAGTAATTTACTCCTGATTTTGATATGTGACTTCCAAAATATAATGCTTTTCCTTCTTTACCTATATAATTTGACTTCCAATGTCAGACATTTTCAGTCACAGACTTCAAAATTTTAAAACTTAATAGAAGCCCTGAGATTATTTGGCATCTTTCCATTTCATTGGTGAAGGAAGGCCTGAAATTCTCCTGCCATAATTATTTCAGACATAAACATGCACCTGAGTAGAACAACCAATTTTCTGTAAGTTTGCTGGATAGCTTCCTCACATGAAAGAATCCAAAGTCCCTGATGGGATTTGAACCCACAGCGGTAAAGGACAAGTGGTTAAGTCAGTAACCTTAATCACTTGTCCTAGGTGTCCCACTGAAAGAAAGTTATTTTATTTCATGTATTTAAAGTTTCTCTTTTACTCAGCAATTGGTCCTTAGTTATTAAAGCCCAGCAAAGTCTGGGGTCAGCTTGTTTGTGCAACAGCAACAGTAACTGTAGTTTTACGTTGTGAAAACTGGATGAGAAATTATATTCAAAGTGATTGCTCTATTAATGTTTTTATTTATTTTCAGAATGATGATGTGAGTGTAGGAAAGAAGATTTGGGACAAATGGGCAAAAGGACTATTATTATGTGTTAGTGTAGGAGGACTAAGTTTTTCTGCTGTTAGTACAAGAAACTTATACGACTCTAAAAATAAATGTAAAGCATATTGGAACGAGAGAAAATTCTAAAAGATAGTTTTTTAGGAAAATGCTTGTGTGATTATAGGAAAATCCAAAGAAGTTCTGTGAAACCCCGTTTTATTGTGAAGTAAAACATGCTTCTATTCATTCACTTAGTACCAACTTCATTAGTTGTACTTTGTTTTAAAACCAGTCTCGGAATGCTGTTTCCTCATTGGTTAAAATATAAAGACACATTAATATATTTATATACTGTAAAACACTTATTTTTCGCGAGAACCTTATTTCGCGAATTTGTGGCAAAATGTCCAAAATAATTATTTCGCGTCAACATGAATTCGCGTCTTCCCAAAAAATGTTAAACCGGAAACCCGATGTCATTCGGATATGTTCTGTCCTGTCCGTTCACTAACTTTGCGTCGTTTGTTCTGCGACAAATGCATTTATATCTGTATCAATTTTACTGATAGCTATCTAATAGTCTTGTTAAGTGAAACCGTCTTGTCTAAAAATATGTCAATAAAGTTTGATAATTATTTGATATGTGTTTACTGTGTTTGTCATGTATTGTTAAGTTTCTATGATTAGCCATTCAAAGGCAAGCAGACGAAAATCAATTAAACGGTACTGTAATTTGCCTAACCTGTAGTAAACAATTATGTTTACCCTCCGGCTTAATCTGAAGTACAATACAATAGGATACTATAAATAGTAATGTTACAAACAACTCGCAGGTGCTAATGGATTTTCACATTAATTAGAACAATCATTAGAAATACCATTAAAATTTTGTGAGACGCATTAATTTGTTTATACTTAATTCTAGTGCAAGCCACAGTTATCTTCCTTGACACATGTAATATGCAGCATAGAAGATTTTTTCCAATTCCTCAATAATACCAAATTGTTACAGGTAAATATATCATACTAGTAAGCTGTACGATATGTATATGCTGCAACAATTCAATAGCTTTATGATGTAACTAGAACTGGTTTCGATTCTTTCCCGCAGATATATATCCATGTGTACGCATTTTCAGATAGTGTTCGTTTTCGGACAAGTGTATAGACAAAGTGAAATATTCGCGAGAAATATGAATTCGCGTCTTAGAAAACTCGCGAATATTAGCGAAAATAAATTTCTCGCGAATAATAAGTGTTTTACAGTAATACATACATTGTATGAATTAAAATTAACCAATTAAAAGCAGACTGGGGACTTCTATGGTCTTTATGATATAAGAGTTTCAGTTTTAGACTGATTGGACCTCTTCGTAGACAGGCGGGAATTCAAAATTTCTGTGTGTAGTTCTTTTGTACATGTCATGATGTGATGTCCCTTTTTGTTAACATATTTCATCATGTTTTACATATTAAAATAGAATGATAATCTATTTTTTATATAGAACTTTTAAGTTAAAACTTGAAACTATAATTATTATCAATTATTATCAATTATAATTTATGAGAAAGTTAATATTTTTAATTTAAATATAGTAATTGAATTAAAATATTAAAGAAGCGAAATTTAATACTGATAAAGTGTTAATTATTTTTGTTAGCTTTCATTTTAATTACATGCAAAGTTAATTACATGCAAAGTTTTATGTTGATAATGATAAATGTAAGAGTAAAATTTTCCTTAGTTATGTGTAAACTTATTTCGAAAAGTATTTGTATGTACTTCTGAACAAACTAAATTAAAGAGAGAATTTGTTACATTTTGTTGGACATTTGTTCATCAATTCTGTGCCAGAGTGATTTGTATATTGGTGTTGATGACAGATTTATGAAGTAAATGATTTAGTTAGAGGAGCAATTAATGATATTCATTAATTTTTAGCTCGACTTTTCTATGAAAAGGGGAGCTATCCTACTCGCCCCGGCGTCGGCGTCGGCGTCGGCGTTAGCGTTGGCGTCACACCTTGGTTAAGTTTTTCGTACCACCCCACTTTATTTCAGAAGTATTACAAGTATGGCTTTGAAACTTACCATACTTGTTCACCATCATAACCTCCATCTACAGACAAGAGTACATAACTCTGTCAAGGTTTTTGACAGAATTATGGCCCTTTTTTGACTTAGAAAGTGTATTGAGCTTGGTTAAGTTTTTTGTACCACCTCACTTTATTTCAAAACCATTGGAGGTATTGCTTTGAAACTGACCATACTTGTTTACCATCACGACCTTCATCAACAGACAAGAGGACATAACTCTGTCAAGGTTTTTGACAGAATTATGCCCCTTTTTGACTTAGAAAATACATTGAATATGGGTAAAATCCACTTATTGCCTTAACCCTTTGAGATATTGCTTTGAAACTTTTAATGCTATTTCACATCATTACCCCCATCTGTACGCAAGAGAAGGTAACTCTGTCAAGGATTTGTTTTAAAAATTAAGGCCTTTTATCGACTTAGAATCTTGGTTAAGTTTTTAGTACCAGTCCACTTTTTGACTGAACTGTTTGAGATATTAATTTGAAAGTTGGAATACTTGTTTACCATCATGGTCCCAAAACATGGGCAGGAGAAGGTAATTCTGTTAAGGATTTTATTTGAATTATGGCCCTTTTTGACTTAGAAACTCAGTTAAGATTTTCATTCTTGTCCACTTGTTGACTTAACCATTTGAGATATTACTTTGGAAGTTGGAGTTCTTATGTGCCATCATGAGACCTATCTGTAAGCAAGAGAAGATAACTCTGTGAAAATGTTTCTTGATTTGTACTTAGAAATTCCTAGTTAAAGTCTTGTGTGCCCTTAACTGTCAAAGTTTTGTTTTATAGGCAAGCACTAAAAAAGTCGAGCGCGCTGTCCTTCTGACAGCTCTTGTTTACTTTCTCCTTACTGTATAAGCAATTATAGTCATCATTAAATGCAATTTAACTAAGATGATGAGGGTTGTACTAAGGTAGTAACTGATATGAAATAAAGAAGGACTTACAACAGTTTTGTGATCAACCCTATTTAGAAGTAAAAACAACTGTATGATTATAATTTGATGTACTCTGCTTTTGTGGCTTTAAAGCATAAACTACAGTTTTCGTCAGGTATATTAATGAATGTATAGTAAAATACTGTTAACTGTTACACGACTTCTGTAATCTACCAGAATTGCCGGTGATTTACTAGAACCTGTAATGTTGTTATTTATGATATTTTTAGCATTTATTTATAAACCATATACATTGTATATTTTTAGCTCACCTGAGCTGGCTCAATGTGAGCTTTTAGGATCTTTGAATGTCTGTCTTTCGTCCGCCCACATTTAGTTATTAACACTCTAGTGGTCACATTTTTGCCTCAGTTATCACCAAACTTGGACAGGATGTTTGTTCAAGTAATTGCTCGGATAAGTTCAAACATGGGTCATCTCGGATGAAAATCTAGGTCACAGGAGCTAAATATAGAAAAATCTTAAATTTTGCCAACACTCGAGTGGCTTCCATTTCAGTCTAAATATCCTGGAAATTGGTCTTAAAGGTTGATTTGATGAGTTCTAGCTAAAATTTATTTATGGGTCACCCTTGGTCAATACCTAGGTCACACAGTCCAAATATAGAAAAACCTGTTAACACTCTTGGGGCTACTCAGCCTACTGTTTCTGTTCAAGTATCCTGGATATTGGTCAGAAAGGTTGATTAGATGATTTCTAGGTCAAGTTTGAATATGGGTTACCTGGGGTCAAAAAATTAGGTCACACAATCCAAATATGGAAAAACCTTAACACTGGAGAGGCTACTGTTTTAGTCTAAATGTCCAGGAAATTGGACAAAAAGGTTGGAGTAGATGATAAGTTTGAATATAGGTCAAAAACTAGGTCAAACAGCTCATATATGATGAAAATCTTGTAAACACTGTAGAGGCAATATTTTTCAGCCCAAATGACCTGAATATTGATAAGAAAGGTTGTTACCTTGATTTCTAGCTCAAATTGAAAATGGGACATCTGCCACAGAGCCCAAATATGGAAAACCTTGTAAAAAACACTATAAATGTAATATTTTCAGCCCAAATAGCTTGGAAAATTTTAGCAAGGTTGTTCAAGTGTTTTCTAGGTCAAGTTCGAATATGGGGCATCTAGGGTCAAAAACTAGGTGACAGCCCATAAAATTATAAAAAGAAATTTTATGGAAAAACTTTGTTTACGTTTGCACTATTTCAGGTGCAGATATGATTATGACAGTTAATCTGCTTTTCATTATTGCTAACAATATTAATTAGGTGAGCGATATAAGAGCCATCATGGCCCTCTTGTTAAATGTGTAAATAATGCAGTAAGTTTCTCATTTCAATTGTTAACAGAGGTCAAACAAACTCAAAATCAAAACAGCAAAGACTCAAAGAGAAACTGGGACAGTTTAAAATGGTAATGAAAACATAATCTTGCTTTTCTAAGTATATTGTATGTTTGTCTTATAAAGCTAATTAAAATTTCAAAAATCTAAATAAATTTATGACAACAATTGATGCATAATACAACATAATTGATTACGATATTAGGACAACTATTACTACTCGTTATATGTGTATTATATATAGAGGGAATTGAAAGAGTAGAGGTTCAATACTGAATTTATTGAACGAGTTGAATAGAATTATATTACATGTATGCGAGCCTCTGGCAAGATAAATATTATTTTATTCAATGAGTTCAATAAATTTAGTAATTAATCTACACAAATATAATATTCTATTTATCACATAACCGAATTAAAGTGCAAGAGTCATTTTTCATTGACACAACTATAGTGTAATGCTAACTTAAGCGTGTCTTTACACTGTTTGTATAATGTTAATGACGTCATGTCAAAATATATGCACGGCCGTTCAATACCATTTGTACGGAGTCCAAAAACTGGCGCGGGTATGTGATAAAATGTCATAATATTATAATGATTGTATAAGACAACATCTGAGGCAGCAACTTTGATTTAATCGTTATCTTCACAAAATGTAGTATTCACAATTTGATGTGTTGCTCTTTAATGCGTTAACTTTGTTTAATTGTTAAAATAAAAAGATTAACACAACACTGTTTTTTCTGGTGTTTGATATTGTTCTGTATGGTGGGTACTGTAAACAATTCATAATTACCACTGTTAAAACGGAAATGATCTACCCTGGAACAATTTGCCCCTATCAGCTGAGTGTTTGAATCCAATTAAGGGCATTAGATTCATTCATGTGAGGAAGCTATACAGCATATAGAAGGTTGTTGGTTCTACTTGTGTATTGTGCCT